TGGATCGTCCCAGACAGAGCTAAGGGGGAAGGAGAGAGAGCCGACCTCGGAGCAGAGACGTCCCGGCGGAGTGCGGCGGAGCGCCGCGCGGACGTGCTTCCCTTCTCCATACGGGCAACACTGGAAGACACAAGACACACAACGGAAAGAGAGAGAAGAAGAAAGGAGGGGAGAGAAAGGAGAGAAAGAAAGAAGGGAGAAGACAGACACAGCGATGGGCACCCCTCCCTCCTCCCCACCAGACGTACCCCACATCACGGCATCCCAATTTAGAGTGAGCACCAAAAGCAGCTATTGGACGAATCAGGAGAAAGGTTAGATTCGAATCCAGGAGCACTTCAGAGACCAACATGATTTTCGGGGTATAAGCTTCCAAGAGTCAAAGCTCCCTCTGGGCACAGAGCAGGGGTCAGTGGGATATTGGGGGGGAGGGGTAGCTGTGAATTCCCTGCATTGTGCAGGAGGCTGGACTAGATGATCCTTGAGGTCCCTTCCAGTTCTACATTTCTATGTTTTGTCAGAGAGGTGTAACGTTCACAAGGCTGCAAGCTTTCCCCATCTCAGCGATTTAATCATGGGTTGGGGCCAACTTTGATTAGCGAGGTCAAATTTTTAAACTGGCAGGCCTGATCTTCAGAAGCGTGTTTAAACCCCAAGGCTGCTTTGGGTTCTGGTGTAGCTACATGGCAAGGAATGAAAAAGAAGCTCTTGATTACCGGCAGCTATTTCACTGTTTTGCGTAATAAGAGTTCTTCCTCCTTTTCACATCTCAAAACGGCTATTTGTTCTTTAAAGTCGTTCCGTGGTGGGCTTTAGATATTTGCTGTTGTTTTACTGATATTGCCATTTCGATAGCCGTGGGAAGCCGCCACGAGAGTAGCCCACGGAGAGGGAGGAGCATAAATATTGCAACTGAATGAATAAAACATGCCCATCCATTTAAATCTAATTGCTTCAACGAATCGGTTTGCTGTTGCAAAGGCAGATCAATTAAGAAGCCTTTCATCGGCTGCTAGCCTTTAATTCCAGGCCTTTTCCTCGCACCTGACTGCTTGGACAAATCGATACTGCAGATTTCAAACTGTTTAAAGCATCGGCTGTGTGAAGCTGCCTTATACTGAATCCGATCGTCAGTCCCTGTAGGTCCGTATTGTCTACTGAGAGGGGCAGCGGCTCCACAGGGTCTTAGATTAATCTCCTTCACCTCGGCTGATTTTTTAAATTGGAGATGCTGGGGATCGAACCCGGGACCTTCTGCATGCCAAGCAGATGCTCTGCCACTGAGCCACACCCTCTCCCCAGTCAAAGAGGGGAACGGTTCCCTTCCCTTTCCCTAAAGGAGCCTAGGAATTTTTAGTTCCATGAGGACAGGCTGAGAAGCTTTATACTGTGCCAAACTACATTTCCCAGGATCCTGCGGGGAAGCAATGACTATTAAGGGGTATAAAGACTGAGGCAGAGACAAGAAAAAGAAGAACAGGAAATGGGAGATTCAGCCTGGGGATTATCCAGAAGCAGAACAGGGACCTGGGGGAGGGGGGTATTTGTGCATTTCCTGCATTGTGCAGGGGGTTGGACTAGATGACCCTGGAGGTCCCTTCCAACTCTGATTCTATGACTCTACAGATGAGCTATGATCCCTCCAAAAGACCCTATCAAAATTATGAAGCTGCCCCGTACCAAGTCAAAGCCAGTGGTCTGCTTAGCTCACTAACATCTGTTCCAATTGGCAGTGGCTTCCTAGGGTCACGGGGAAAGAAAGGTCAATCCCAGAATCTGCTACCTGTAACTGGAGATGCCGGGTAAACACCTGCTTTGACAATGAATTTATGGCCCCTCCCCTTGAGCCATCCAAAAAGAAAATCACTTTCTGCTGTAATTGAACCCATGACTGGTGAACAAATGCCCCTCCATCTCCTGACATTAAACAGCTATATTGGAAGGGGGGAAACTTTGCTTGTTATGACACTGCTGGGTGCCACGGACACCAGTCTCTGTGGCCAGTGTTCCCTCTAAGCTGAGTGAGTGTGAACTAGCTCACAGTTTTTTAGCCTCCAGCTCACAGATTTCTGTCTTAGCTCAGGAAGGAGGGCTCCAGAGCAAACTGATTTATGCAGTAGCCAAATCGCTGGCTCACAAAGTTAGAATTTTTGCTCACAAGACTCTGCAGCTTAGAGGGAGCACTGCCTGGGGCAGCTCTGAAATCCTGGCTAGTGAAGACAACAAGGAATTGCAGGGGGCATTAAATGAGACCGCCCCAGTTTTCCTCGGAGCACTTGTTAAACAAACCCAGAGAATCCACTGGAGCTGGCTGAACACAAAAACCCCAGTGACAAGAGGCAGGAAAGGGCCGATCCAGGACAGAAGAGCAAAACAGCCTGACTTTAAAATGTATGCAAGGCTAGAGCGGTGCAGAAATGCCCTGGAGCGTTTCTTGTCCTGGATCAAGTGAGGAACTGATGAGTCAGGCCCTTTCCCTGCCCCGACGGCCCCCTTTGTCCTGCTCCGCCAGGCACAGAGATAAAAGTCCGGAGCAACCCTTGAAGCCGCTGGGGCTCTGCACCGTGATCCCTGAGCTTTGTGTGCTGACGCTTCAGAGGGGACCCCATCCCGTTGGCCTTTGATCTGCTATACTCAGGGCACTTTCCAAACTTTGGAGTTCGGGACTCCTTCTTCCTGGGGGCATTTGAGGTCCAAAAATGCAGGAAATAAAAATTAACTTTAAAAATTGTGTGTGTGTGTTTTTTCCCCCTAAATTTCCAATGAGACATAGACTGCCCACTGAATTGACAAACTGACACGCACAGTCAGTGTGAGAGCTGCTGCGGTATCTCGGGTGCATCTGACGAGGCGCGGGTTCGAATCCCCACTCAGAGGTGAAGTTATTTGGATGTCCCTGGACCAAGAGTTTCCTCTCAGACTAACCCCCCTCATGAGTACTGAGGGCAGTGTTCCCTCTAAGCTGAGTTAGTGTGAGCTAGCTCACAGTTTTTTAGCCTCCAGCTCACAGATTTCTGTCTTAGCTCAGGAAGGAGGGCTCCAGAGCAAACTAATTTATGCAGCAGCCAAATCGCTTGCTCACAACTTTAATGCCAGTAGCCCACAAAGCAGAATTTTTGCTCACAAGACTCCACAGCTTAGAGGGAACATTGATTGAGGGCTGTGCGTAACCTGTGCATCAAAGACCCCGTTCTGAAAAAAAGAGGCAGTTCTGCATATTGCAAAAGCTGAGCCAGTTTGCCTAATGTCACTCCTTCGGCATGATTTGCTCTCTTATTTTTTTGGTTTTTTTAAAATGCTTTTTGCCTAAAGGATTTTGCTTTGGCTGACCGGAGGCAAGGAGCTAGCCTGTGTGCGCGTCAAGCGCCATCCGGTTGCAGCTGACCGATGGCGACCCCCTCAAAGGGTTTTCAAGGCAAGTGATTAAGCAGAGGTGGTTTGGTGGTGCCTTCCTTGCTGGTCTGGCTATACTATACCATTCCACATGCCCAAGGGGCTAGTGGAATGACAGGAAATCTTATTCAGCCACTGCCTGGCTTCTAAGATTTCTTGCAGGCATTGCCCGCAACAGGTACAAGCATATCTCAGCTGCCATAACTTTTATTTTATTTACTTCATTCATACCCCGTCTTTCCCCCCAATGGGGGACCCAAGTTGGCTTACATCACTCTCTTCTCCTCTGTTTTATCCTCACAACAACCCAGTGAGGGTAGGCCAATCCAAGAGTGTGACTGGCCCTAGGTCACCCAGCGAGCATCCGTGGCACGAGTGGGGATTTGAAGCCAAGATTTCCCCGATATTGCTCCGACACTCTTAACTACTACACCACACTTGAGGACTAGAAACTTGGTTCTTTAGAAAAATAGAAACGGAGATTCTGAGGGATCTGAATCCGGCAGCCAGTACCACATCTCCACCCTCCCCAGCCTCCCTCTGGAAGTGCAGTGTACAACATGCATGACATGTATGTTTCCTTCATTGATTTGACTTCAGGATGACTTTCAGTAGCTTTTTCTCCATGGCCCGTTTACAGCCAGTAGTGGATTTCTGGATGCTGCCAGGGTCAAAGCCTCCTTGCCGCCTTGGCCCTTAATGCCAACTGCTGCAGCTAAGTGAAATGGTAACGCACTTGGCCCATGGTCAAGGGAGCAACGCTTTATGACTCGTTTCCTCTATTTCGGGGCCAAGCCGGACCAAAGAGACAGCTCCAAGGGCTGACAGACGGAAGTCTCCTTTAAGGAAAATAAATACCTGTTTCATTTTCATGCTTCTCCTCACCAGCACTGAGAGAGATAAGAAAAAGAACATCCAACAGAAAGGTGCCCCAGGGGCCACTGAGTGCTTACAGACCACACCTGTAAACTGAGAAAGGTTTATTGGAAAGAACGAGGAGGCTTATTGGAGAAGGACGAGGGATGGAGATTGGAGGTGCCACAGGGCACTGGTGTGTCCCCGGGGAAGGAACTTGTGGGGAGGGTACAAGAGCAATGAGGGCTACTTCTGAGTTGTGTGGCCGAGCATCCGACAGCAAGCAGACAAATGGATGGATGGATGGATGGATGGATGGATGGACAGGTGGATGCAGAGGTGCCAGGATGGGAGCAACTGACTGAACACTCTGGACTCTGTTTTTCAAATATTTGTCATCACGAGGTTGCGGGGAGGAGAAGGGAGAGGGGACAGAAATGCGAAACCAAGACGACACCAATAACGAGAAAGGAGAAGAATCCAGGCCAAGGGCTGGAAAGGAAGAACGGATCAGACCTGCCATTAGTGGCCCAGCGACGGTGGCCATTAGTGGCCATTAGTGGCCCGGTGAGCGTGACTTACCTCCGGAACGCGGTACTCAGGGTGTCTCCCCATTGTACCAAATCAGAAATGGAAAACATATGGGCAGCCTGAAGACCGCACTGGGGACAAGGGGGTTGTTTTTGCTTTGCAGGTCAGCAGTGAGCGGAAAGGGGGAGAGGGGACCATCCCGAGCAGAGCACGTCGCTTACCACAGGGGCCCTGGCGTTTGACCGGGATGGCGGTCCTCTGCTGACACTCGGCCTTCTGGCGCTCGCAATCGTTGTTGTAGGTCCGGCTGTCCCTGCCGCAAAGAGGCCGGTAGGCGCCGTCGCAGGCGATGCGCTCGCAAGTGCAGCGGGTGGATCCCCGGCGGTTGAGACATACCCCGTTAAAGCGGCATTCGTCCCGGCATTTGTCTAGAGAGGACCAAGCAGGAGAGAGCGAAGGGTTAGGCTGTGGTCAGCGACGGTGTGGACCATCAGTGGGTACCGGTGCAAAGGAGAAGAGAATGGTCCTCAGACGGTCATCTTGAAGCAAAGGAGTCCTCTCTCTTCATTTCTGACTTAGAATAGAAATGTGTTACATCAGAAGAAGAAGAAGAAGAAGAAGAAGAAGAAGAGAGGAGGAGGAGGAGGAGGAGGAGGAGGAGGAGATTGGATTTATACCCTGCCCTTCACCTGGAGTCTCAGAGCGGCTTACAAATTCCTTTCCCTTCCCCTCCCCACAACAGACATCCTGTGAGGTAGGTGGGGCTGAGAGAGCTCTTTCCAGAACTGTCCTTGAGAGAACAGCTCTGACAGAGCTACGGCTTGCCCAAGGTCATCCAGCAGGTGCAAGTGGAAGAGTGGGGAATCAAACTCGGTTCTCCCAGATTAGAGTCCGCACACTTAACCACTACATCAAACTGGCTCTATGCATTCCTGGCTGCAAATTAAGATCACAGGAAGAGGCCCTCCTGACTGTCCCATCAATCCAAGAAGCTTGTCTGGTGGGTACACGAGAGAGGGTCATTTTGGTGGCAGCCCCATGAAGATGGAACAGCCTCCCCAGGTAGGTGCACCTGGCCCCTTCCCTTTTGATATTTAGGGGGCAGCTGAAGATGGTTTTATTTAGGACCGCATTTGATTAAAGCAGTTCTAAACTGTGATTTAAAATTGTAAGAACATAAGAACATAAGAGAAGCCATGCTGGATCAGGCCAATGGTCCATCCAGTCCAACACTCTGTGTCACGCAGTGGCCAAAACCCAGGTGCCATTGGGAGGTCCACCAGTGGGGCCAGAACTCCAGAAGCCCTCCCACTCTTGCCCCCCCCCAAGCACCAAGAACATCACTGCCCCAGACATAAGAACGTAAGAGAAGCCATGTTGGATCAGGCCAATGGCCCATCCAGTCCAACACTTTGTGTCCCACAGGTGTCAAAACTCAGGTGCCATCGGGATGTCCACCAGCGGCTCCAGAAGCCCTCCCACTCTTGCCCCCCCCCAAGCACCAAGAACATCACTGCCCCAGACATAAGAACGTAAGAGAAGCCATGTTGGATCAGGCCAGTGGTCCATCCAGTCCAACACTCTGTGTCACACAGTGGCTAGAAATACCAGGTGCCATCAGGAGGTCCACCAGTGGGGCCAGAACTCCAGAAGACCTCCCACTGTTCTCCCCCCCCCCAAGCACCAAGAATACAGAGCATCCCTTGCCCCAGACCGAGAGCTCCTATCTATACCTTGTGGCTAATAGCCACTGATGGACCTCTGCTCCGCATGTTTATCCAATCCCCCCTTGAAGCTGTCTAGGTTTGTAGCCGTCACCACTTCCTGCGGCAGTGAATTCTACCTGTTAATTACTCTTTGGTTGAAGAAGCACTTCCTTTTATCCATTCCAAACTGTGATGTATTTTATGTATTTGATTTATATTGCAAGTCGCCTTGCACTCCATAAGGAAGAAAGGCGGCTAATAAAATGTTTAAATAAAACAGTAAACGAACTAAACAGAGCTTCCGGGAACCAGGGCTTCTTCTAAGCTGCCCTGCACAGAGGTTTCCCCACTCAGGACTAACCAGAACAACTCGAGTTCAGGCCCACTCACCTTGAAACTGACACTGCCCGGACCGCACCTTCTGGATCTCTATCCCCCGCACAGCGCCGGACCTCACCATGACGCACTCGTTGTCGTAGGTCACTCCATCGTCGCCGCACACCGGGTCCCGCTTCAGGGGGCAGCTTTCAGGCCGGGGCAGGAGCTCAGCGCGCCGGGTGCGGGGATTGACCCGGCAGACTCGGTTCATGTCGTTGTGGGTGCTCCTGCAGGGGTCTGCAAAGAGGAGGCGAGGAACGAGATGGTCACATAGCAAGCAGCTGACCCTGGAGATGTCTACACGCTCGCTCTGACCGGCAGCAGCTATCCAGGGGTCTCACACAAAGACCTTCCCGGATCCGGCTTCCCCTTTGAACTGGAAACTCCAGAGGCAGAACTTAGGGCAACGCTCCCTCTAAGCTGTGGAGTCTTGTGAGCAAAAATTCTACTTTGTGAGCTACTGGCATTAAAGTTGTGAGCAAGCGATTTGGCTACTGCATCAATTAGTTTGCTCTGGAGCCATCCTTCCTGAGCGAAGACACAAATGTGTGAGCCGGAGGCTAAAACACTGTGAGCTAACTCACACTGACTTAGCTTAGAGGGAACACTGACTGAGGACCCCTGTGCATACAAAGCCCCAGAAGGTCGGAACAGAACCAACAGGTTGAAGTTAAATCGGTAGAGTTTTCGGCTATACATTAGGAAAAACTTCCTGACAGAGCATCTGCTTGGATTGCAGGAAGTCCCAGGTCCAACCCCTGGCTTCTCCAGCTAAAAGGAGTTCAAAGTAGGTGATATGAAAGACCTCCGCCTGAGACCCTGGAGAGCCACTGCCAGTCACAGTAGACAGCACTGACCATAACGGACTGAGCGGCTACAAGCATGGACGGCTTCAAAAGGGAATTAGATAGGCATATGGAGCAGAGGTCCATCAGTGGCTATTAGCCACAAGGTATAGATAGGGGCTCTGGGGCAAGTGATGCTCTGTCTTCTTGGTGCTTGGGGGGGCCAACAGTGGGAGGGCTTCTAATGTCCTGGCCCCACTGGTGGACCTCCTGATGGCACCTGGTATTTTTGGCCACTGTGTAACAGAGTGTTGGACTAGATGGGCCTTTGGCCTGATCCAACAGTGGCGCCTCTTATGTTCTTATGTTCTTATGAGAGTCCGATTCAGTCTCAGGTAGCACCAGATGTTCACATAGCAACAACCCTCTAACTCTCTACATATTGACTTATCCCAGGACTAGCCAGAGGCAGGTTAAAGACCCTTGAGTTGGTTCCTGCATTTGACCCATCATAAAACTCTGGGGGGTAGGGAGCCACCCCCATCCCTCACCAAGGCAAGCATCTACACAAGCGCGACATGCATGCAGATCTGTGACGGGAAAGCGCCGCGGCACAGGAAGGGCGCACCAGGCCCCCCAGGTTCCTGCCGGTCTAATCCGGGCTTATCCGGATCACCTTCCATTCACCGCTTGGACACTCTTATCGGAATGCTAAACACACCGGTCTGCTTATTGGCTAATCCCCTTCTCTCTTCTTTCCACGGGGATGCTTTTAGTGCCCGGCTGATAATACCTGAGACGGGTCGGCCTGCTTCCCTGCCGTTAACAGCAGAAAAGCGAATATGCTAGAAAACCTGCACCCGCTTGGACCTTTTTATCTTGAAATACCTACACTGCCATTCGACCACTCCCCGTGGGAGGGGGGACATATGGGGCAGCAGATTAACAAAATCCCCATGGAGACGGGAAGAACGGCACAGTGCGGGAAAGCGGGGCAGGGAGGACGGCTCCTTAACCCCATTGACAGACATCGAAGTAGGGCCGAACCTGGCTTCGGTGGGCGCGAGGCTATTCCGGCCCCACAAAACAGACTGCTGTTCTTTCAAGGGTATTGCGAAGAATTTCCCTCCAGTTGCGCACAGCCTCGAAAGGGCTGAGAATAGCAGAGAAGGCTAATCCTTCCACACATCAGGAAGATGGGTGTGGGTGAGACACGGTGCCTAAGAAAGCACACTGCGACCCAGACAGTGACTTACAAAAGAAGAAGAGGAGGAAGAGATTGGATTTGAACTCTGCCCTTCACTCAGCGTCTCAGAGCGGCTTACAATCTCCTTTTCCCTTCCCCTCCCCACAACAGACACCCTGTGAGGTAGGCGGGGCTGAGAGAGCTCTGAGAGAACTGCTCTTTCAAGGACAGCTCTGACAGAACTATGGCTTGCCCGAGGTCATCCAGCAGCTGCAAGTGGAGGAGTGGGGAATCAAACCCGGTTCTCCCAGGTTAGAGTCCGTGCACTTAACCACCACACCAAACTGGCTCATCCCCTGCCACAAATTTTGTTAGAGGAGGAGGAGGAGAAGAAGAAGAGTTCGGTTTATACCCTGCTCTTCACTACCTGAAGGAATCTCGGAGCAGCTTACAATCATTTTCCTTCTCCCCACAATAGACACCCTGTGAGGTAGGTGGGGCTGAGAGAGCTCTGAGAGAGCTGTGACTGGCCCAAGGTCACCCAGCTGGCTGCATGTGGAGAAGAAGTAGGAAATCAACCCCTCCAGCTCTCCAAATTAGCATCCGCCACTCTTAACCACTACACCACACTGGCTCCAGCACCAGTAAGGTGCTACTGGTGAGAGCCAGTTTGGTGTAGTGGTTAAGTGTGCGGACTCTAATCTGGGAGAACCGGGTTTGATTCCCCACTCCTCCACTTGCACCTGCTGATGTGACCTTGGGTCAGTCGCAAGCTCTGGCACAGCTGTCCTTGAAAAAGAGCAGTTTCTGTCAAGAGCTCTCTCAGCCCCACCCACCCCACAGGGTGTCTGTTGTGGGGAGGGGAAGGGAAAGGAGTTTGTAAGCCGCTCTGAGACACCTTTGGGTAGTGAAGGGCGGGGTATAAATCCAATCTCTTCTTCTCTTCTCTTCTTTTTCTTCATCTACTGGATTCTTGCTCTTTTCTACTGTTAACGACAGACTAACGCCCCTACCCATCTTGATGTGTGATCCAGATGGTTGCTGGTCTGCCATGACCTTTGGCGAGTCTTGTGAGCAACAGTCCCCACCTCCCCATCTAAAAAACAATATAATAATGGTATTGGCCTGCCTTACAGGGGTGTTGTAAGCAGTGTTCCCTCTAAGCTGAGTTAGTGTGAGCCAGCTCACAGTTTTTCAGCCTCCAGCTCACAAATTTTTGTCTTAGCTCAGGAAAGATGGCTCCAGAGCAAACTAATGTATGCAGTAGCCAAATTGCTCGCTCACAACTTTAATGCCAGGAGCTCACAAAGTAGGATTTTTGCTCACAGGACTCCACAGCTTAGAGGGAACATTGGTTGTAAGGGGTTTCCACAGGATCCTGGGCCTTAAGATTCCTGCCACCAAGGCATGAGACGGAAGCTCCCTAAGAGGGACGATGGTCTGTGGGTCTCCAGCAAATATCTGACCCTGCCCCACGGCTCAGAGCCAGCCACAGGCAAGTCAGACATCAGGGATTGAGGTTTTGTTTCTGTTTTCCTTTTATTTTCCGGCCATAGCTTTCATTTTCTCAAGCGTGTTAACGCGGTAATAACGGGGGGAAAGCATTTTTAGATTTCCTGAGGGTAAAATTCCAAGGTCTTTCTGGCAAAGAAATAAATACAGCCGCAACAGAGGGAAGAAAGGACAATATACGGGCTGTGGCAAAGGACAGAAAGGGGACCTGAGCAACTAAAGGGAAGCTCCACAAATTGGAGCACAAGGACCGTCCTCCCGTCCCAGGCAGGGGTCAACCGTGACTTCTGTGTGAGGCCCGAAGGTCATTTGATGTGTCCTGGAAACCGTCGGCACACATGCGGCAGGTGGCCTAGTTCATCAGCTCAGCTTCTGGGACTGCGCATTTTCAGACGCAGAAAGGCCTTTTGTGCATTACTGTAGAGACCAGTTTGACCCGCAGTGGGAAAATGGGGGCCAATCGTAACATGACGAGCAGTGTCCCCTCTAAGCTGAGTGAGTGTGGGCTAGCGCACAGCTTTTTAGCCTCCGGCTCACACATTTTTGCCTTCGCTCAGGGAGGATGGCTCCAGAGCAAACTGATTTATGCGGTAGCCAAATCGCTCGCTCACAACTTTCATGCCAGGAGCTCACCAAGTAGAATTTTTGCTCAGAAGACTCCACGGCTTAGAGGGAGCACTGATGACGAGGCAGCCTTCTAAGCACAATGAGACACACACCCCCGAGCTGTTGCCCGCTGCGTGTAGCACAGCGTGTCTACTCCTAGCCAGCAGTAGTCAGCCACCAGGACTATTTCAGCCACTCCAACTCACCAGCCACTCACCAGCACTCAGTTGCAGAGTAAGCTCTGTATTGCACCACACAAGACAGTCCTGTGGTAAACTATGTACAGAATTTATTTACAATATTTACAGTCTGCTGACAAAGTGCTCCGCCAATCACCATTACACGAGAAGAGAATGAACAGGGCTGCACTTGTCCAGTTATATACATACAGCATCCAATCAGCTAAGTGCTGACTCATTGTCATTGACCTCATGCCTTATCAGGTCTTAACTAGTCAGGACCGGTTTCCAGCAGCTTGCCTGCTGACACATAGATCACCATGATCTGACAGCTGGATATTAAACATCCGACACGAGCTGCCTCTATAGGGCCACGGGCAGTAGGTCTGGGGGAACAGCAGACTTCCTCACAGCCCCTGCCTGGCTTGTACCCCCCACATCACTCCCCCACCTCAGCAGTTGGAGCAGATGGCCTTCCCTCCCCATTCCACGGGACAGCACAGCAAATCATGCACACTCAGCAGGACTCACATCAGCTGTCAGAGGAGGAGACAGCACAAGACGAGAACCACTGCCTCGCCTCACCTCATTGGAGAGCCAGCCCAAGGGGCTGCCTCACCACGTGTCAGGCAATGCCTGGTGACCCACAGGAAGTTTGGGTGGTGGGGACATGGGGGAGGCTGCGATGTTGCGAGTACCATGACATCACTTCCGGTGAAAACACAGAAGTGATACAGGGTAGCTCTAGGAATCATCAGAATCTCTATGGTCAAACCAGAGAGTGTCCAGCAATTCCTAGAGCTACCCTCCCTCACTTGTGGGTTTTCACTGGAAGTGATATAACAGGGCACACAATGCTGTTTCCCCCCCCCTCCTGCTGCTGCTTGGGCGAAGGACCCCGAGGGCAGGGAGTCTCCTGTCCCAATCAGGGTACCACCAACTCATTATAGATGTTTATTTGCAATTTAAACATTTACTTAATGTATCTTATGCTCAGACATTTCAAGTGCATTTAATCTTTGATGGTCTTCCCTTGGTGTTTTCTGCTGTTTTCTGCTATCACATGCTAGGGATCCCTGTTTTATCTCTACCCAGGGTACTGTCAAGGCTACAGGGGAAGTAACGTCACTAAGCGCCCTCCTCCCCCATCAAAGAGAAAACAAAATGGCAGCCGGCTGCCCCTGCCAACTTACCACAAGGCCCATCAAACTTCTTGAAGATGTTCTCTTGCTTGTCACAGGCATGCCTGTTGAGGTGGCACTCGCTGCGGTAGTCCTTGCCGTCAGTGCCGCACACGGTATTCTCGGGCACACCGCTGCACGAGGTCGGGCAGATGCACTTGGCTGAATGCCCATCTGTGGAGCGGGCACAGGTGCTGCCAAAACTGCACATCACCTCGGCACATGGGTCCTTTGAACCTGGAGGAAAGGAGAGGATAGAGAAATCAGATCAAGACAGTAGGAAGCATGTGTCTTGCTGACCCACGGTGCCACAAAACTGCGGCAAAATGCCCCTTGCTCAGCTGCTGCTCGTCCACGCCGTGTGACAGGCAGCATTGTCACTAATATAATCAACTAAAGCTATCCAGGTTTGTCCAGCTGGCCTGTAACGTTGAAACTTATCTGTTTGCTAAACGATACTGACATGCATTTGACTTTCCCAGCCACCATCGTCTGTGGCGGCCAAAAGTCGTTCCCAGACCCTGAGTAATGAACGGATAAGCTTGCAGAGGCAATGGAGAGAGTTGATCTGACAGTTTATATGTGATTTTGATAAACTGCACTAGTTTGTGAGAGTTTTGTTGCACGGCCATGATATATTGTAAGGCATTTTTTTCCTGAACGGGATTTGATTGATTTGGTTTACAACAAACTCCAAACAACAGGAAAACAGAAAAACTCTAACAATGCACAGAGTAAACCGAGTATGATTACACTGGATGCAAAAACCTGTCATGGGCCAGGCAGCTACCTCTATCTCTGAGGATGAGGAAATGGAAGAATCAGGCCCTGCACCAGTGGAATGCCCTCCTGAGCAGCTGGGTCTAGAAGCAGATCCAGTGAAAGAAGCATCAGGAAGCGAGAGTTGCTCATTCTGGCAGGAGACAAAAGTCACTGCCAGCTTCTCCTGAGCCAGCAGAGCGCAGAAGACAGAGAGAGCGCTTGACAGCCTGAGGGAGATGAAGAAACGCCCGTTGAATTGCACAACAGAGATCAGTGCTAATTCTGGGAGCAGAGTCGTTACAGGAGCAGGAATGACAAGCTGATAAGTAGCAACACCTGGGTTTCAGAAGATGAGTCAGCTAATGAGGCAGATAAAAGGAAAATGCTGAACAAGGCTCGATGTGGAAGCAACCCTTGCTCGCCACCCCCTCTGTAAGCTTACCCTATCAGCCCAGGCAAGTCCGATCTTGGCAGATCTTGGAAGCTAAGCAGGGTCGACTCTGGCAAGTACTTGGATGAGAGACCTCCTTGAAATACCAGCAGTCGAGAGGCAGGGGCAGGCTTTATTCAGCCACCTCTTTGAATATCCTTCAGGCCCCCAGTAGTGGTCAGTCACCAGAGGTTGCCATGGCTTCCAGGAGCACACACAGTCAGTCACTAGAGGTCACCATGACTTTCAGGCGCACACACACCACACCAACACCCACACGCACATATAAAAATATACCAAAAATACAAAAAAAGAGAGAACTCCTGTAGAATTCTGCACCAACTGCAGCTTCCGATTCCTAGCGTGACTTCTGTGAGTTGCTAGACTATGCAAACAGATCTGAGGATGAGGAAACTGGTGTCCTAAAGCAGGCCTTGTGGGGAAAAGGTCTCTCTCCAGACAAAACATCTCAGGGAAATGCCTGACCTCCCTGGCCTCTGGATCCCACCCCAGAGCTTGTGTGTATTGTGGACGAAATCCACACAGTAAATGTTCAGAACTGATGGCACAGTGCATCAAAACACATTACACAGACCCGGGTGCTTGCTGAGCCAGAATTCAAAAAAGCAAGCTGCGACTCGGCCCACAGATCCTAATCGGATTGGAAACAGGAAGTTTTTAATGCACCATGAGCAAAACGTAATTAGAGTAAGCCATCAAGAAGCAATTCTCCGTTTGATCAGGAGGAGGCCAACGTGTTATTTATAGGACCTGGCGCCCGTTTATTTAATTATTTTTTTCTCTTCCCCCTGTTTCATTTGTCACTTGTTCCCTCCTCCCCCCCAATCCCCTATTATTATTTTAAATAAATCACTTGGTGCCCCCAGCTCCCTTCCCCTCCCTCGCTTCCGACAAGCGTCCCCAGCAGGAACCGAGAAGCGCAGATTTATCGTGAGCTGGAGCTTCTCATCAGGAGAGAGAGAGAGGGAGAAAAAAAAAAGGTCAAGTTAATTTACTCTCAGACAAGTGGACTGGGGGTTTCATTTGCACAGCTCCTCGCTCGCAGCGGATGCGTGCCGCGCTTCCGAGGAGGTTTCATTAGCTTCGCTCGCCAGCCCCCTCTGCAAAATAAGCTGCTCCAGGGTGAAAGCCACGCTTGTGTGCACAAGGGTGTGTGTGTGTGGGGGGGTGTCTGTGCAGGAGTGTGCAAGGCTCTGTGGTGTGAGGTAAACAGGCCCAAAGAACAGGGTGGGGTGATCACAGGATCCTTGGCAGAGCACAGAGGGTTACAAAGCACCCGGCTTTCCTTCTCTCCGCCACGGATAACTCTTGCCTTTAAGTATGGCTTCCCAGCCAATAACCGCTTCCTCTTCCCTCCCCAGACAGTAGCCACTCCCAGCCTTCTTGCCCAGCCCCTTCCTGTTTCCTCTGCAGCTTATTTCCTGTTTCCTTTCTCACTTCCTGTTCCTTCCCCAGCTGATGCACATTTCCTCTTTCCTTTTAAAGTAAAACCGACTTACTGTTTCCTCTCAAGGCATCACCAACTTCTTCTCCAGTCGTCACCCACTTCCTTTTCCTCCCAGCTAAGATTTCTCCCGAACTGACATCGACTTCATTCCCTAGCCAACACCCCCTTCCTGTTTCCTGTAGCTACTCCCTGACTTCTTGCCCAGCCCCTTCCTGTTTCCTCCACAGCTGACTTCCTGTTTCCTTCCCCAGCCGACTCCCACTGCCTATTCCTTCCCCAGCCCACTTCCTGTTTCTTCCCTCAGCTGACACCCACGGGGAGGTGGCGCCTGTCAGTGGGGACCCCCTACCTCCACTGGCAAGGCCTGGCAACCCGGCCACTGGCAGGATTCAGACTTGGGACTGCCTGTCTTGCAAGTCACACCCTCAGCTACGGTCAGATAAGGGAGCAAGAGAAAAAATATGCCTGAAAAGCTGGAAAATGGGAGCTTCCACTGCCATGGGAGGTTCGTCTAGAATGGCCAGCTCTTGGGATCTCAGGATTTGGCACAAGCAGGGCTATTTTTGGGCAAGAACGCACAGGAACAGAGTTCCGGCTGGCTCCCGAGTTGGCCACACCCAGCAGGAACTCATTAGCATAACAGGCCACACCCAACAGCAGAAACTCATTAGGATTGGCTACATGAGGGGTGTGTGGCCTAACATGCAAAGGAGTCCCTGCTACAAAAAAAAGGCCCTGGGTTTTGACAACAAGCAAGGTAAACAGAATAAGAAGCAAAAGGTGGGTGTGGCTGGATGACCACACTTCTGCGAACATGGGGTGTGTGGCCTAATATGCTAATGAGCTGTGCTGTCAGGGGTGTGTCCTAATAAGCAAATGAATTTCTGCTGTTGGGTGTGGCCTATTATGCTAATGAGTTCTTGCTGGGCTTTTTCTACAAAAAAAGCCCTGGGCACAAGGATTTGAAATCATTGTATTGTGCCCCAGAAACGACAGGCTTTAGGATGCTGGGGATCTGGTAACCATATTCTGGTCTTTTTTCCATGGCCCTATGGAGGGGCAGTGGGTTATCTATGGGCCCTGACAGGGCAGACGGGGCACCCGCCACTCACCGCACGCCCCTTTGCTGATGACCTTGATCCGCCTCTGTTGGTTGCACTGAGCTTTCTCCAGTTCGCACTCATTGCTGTAGGTCGAATAATCCGAGCCGCAGACAGGGGCCACCACCGAAGGGCACATGGACTTCTTGCACACGCAGACTCCCTGGGAGGAATCCGTGGGGCTTCTCTCACACACGGCGCCAAACCCACAAAGCACCCCTCGGCACACTGTGGATACAGAGAGGAGAGTTGGCATTAGGAAGAAGCTCTTTTTATGTCTTTTTAAAAATAAGTGACATTTCTAGTCCTCGTTGGAAAGATTAACAGCCTGGAAACCCACATAAACATGGACTGGGATCTGAAAAACCTGCACACAATGGCTTGCTGCTGCCACTCCCCTCGCCCCGACATAATGGCCTACGGTGTGCAGCTTTGGGCAAATCTCTGAGAGTACTTATGATCATAGGGCGGGATCAGCAGTACCCTGGCTAATGTTGTTGTTGTTCTGAAGGCACGCAAGACTAAACCCAGCAGAGCCCTTTGCAGATTCAATGTGTTTTGTAAGAGCTGAAAGGCTGTAGCGAAATCTTCAGAGTGAGGAAAGAGAGGAAACATTTGCACTCAGCATTGAACGGCACATCTGCAGGACACAACGTTTTCACCCCAGCTAGTACCCAAAGCTCTCTTCAGAGAAGACTTCCCAGACTCCCCTGCAGTGCCTCAGAGGATTCTGGGATACACCTTCTGTTTCAGGATCTGAGCCAGTAAATTGAACCTGGCTGCGGCATGACCGGGTTCCACAGCTTATGGAGCCAAGCTTCAGCATGCACCCCTCCTCGTCTTATTTTTTTCGTCCTCTCCAAAGATACCTCATTGATATCCCCACGCATTTATCCCCAACTGCCATGTTGCTTCTTCCTCCTGCTTTTCCCCCAGGCCTTGCCAACTCAATTCCAAACACCTTTTGTTTTTTTTCAAAAACAATTTATTACGATATATTATTAATTCCAATACACATCATATTATTAATTGTTATACATCATTTCTTCCATTATCCCACCCCCTCTGGCTTCCCACAGTGCTCCAACCTCCAGCCCAATCCTAAAAGTTTCTTTATTTTCCTCTTATCTTTTAATCACAATCTACTGGTAACACTTCCTTCTACTATTATATTCTTATAATTAACTTTCTTCTAATAGCATTTTCAATAATTGTCAAAGCAAATCAAATTGTCCTTTACATCCCAATATTTCTCTAAGTAATCCTTAAAATCTTTCCAATCTGCATAAAACTCTTCTGCTTCAAGATTCTTAAGTTTCCTTGTCATTTTGTCCATTTCAACCATAAATAGCAATTTCTTTATCCATTCCCCGATTTCTGGAATTCTGTCTTGTTTCCAACATTGAGCATAAGTCATTCTAGCAGTTGTAATCATATACCACATCACAGTCCTTTTCTGTACATTGACTTCTTCCATTTTAAGTCCCAACAGTAGTATTTCAGGTTCCTTCTTAATGTCCTTCCAGGACAATTTTTTCCATTTCTTTTTGTATCCCAGCCCAATAACTTTTTGCTTTATCACATGTCCACCACATATGATAGAATGAGCCCTCTATTTTTTTACACTTCCAACACTTATTTGACATATTACTATTTATATTTGCAATCTTTTTCGGTGTCATATACCATCTATGCATCATCTTATAGCAGTTTTCTTTTAAATTATTACACGTTGATATTTTCATAGCATTTTGAAAACACAACGGCTATCTCATTCAGACACTTGTGGTTGGGGAAAGTGCCGTCAACCTGAAGCTGTTACGGTGACCCCTCATGGGGTTTTCAAAGGCAGGAGATGTTCAGAGGATGTTTGCCATGGCCTGCCTGTGCATGGCAACCCAGGACTTCCTTGGTAGTTTCCCCTCCAATTACTAGCCAGGACCAACCCTGCTTAGCTTCCACAAGATCAGGCCAGCCTGAGCCATTCAGGTCAGGGCAGACAGACAGAGGTGGTTGGCCATTGCCTGCCTCTGCGCAGCCACCCTGACATTCCTTGGTGGTCTCCCATCCAAGTATGAACCAGGGCCGACTCTCCATAGCATCTGAGATCTAACGAGATTGGGCCAGCCTGGGTCACCCAGGCCAGGACTATTCAGACACTACAGCACACACAATCCATACTTATTTACTTACTCCTATTGAAATGAAAAGACGCCTGCTCCCTGGGAGGAAAGCGATGGCAAACCTAGACAGCATGATAAAAAGTAGAGACATCACCCTGCCAACAATATGGTCAAAGCAATGGTATTCCCAGTAGTCACGTATGGCCGCGAGTGTTGGACTATAAGGAAGGCCGAGTGCTGAAGAATAGATGCTTTCAAAGTATGGTGCTGGAGAAGACTCTTGAGAGTCCCCTGGACTGCAAGGAGATCAAATCAGTCAATCCTAAAGGAAATCAAGCCTGACTGTTGCCTGGAAGGCCAGATCCTGAAGCCGAAGCGCAAATACTTTGGCCACCCAATGAGAAGGGAGCCCCCTCGCTGGAGAAGACCCTGATGCTGGGAAAGACTGAAGGTCAAAGAAGATGGGGACGGCAAAGGATGAGATGGTTAGACAATGTCATCGATGCAACGAACATGAAATTGAGCAAACTCTGGAACACGACGGAAGACAGGAGGGCCTGGCGTGATGTGGCCCATGGGGTCGCGAAGAGTCGGACTCGACTGTGCGACTGAACAATAACAACAACATTGCAGAATCCAGTTTATATAGCACAGGATTTGGGGGAGGGGATGCAGTGATGGACAGCCCTCAACTTTTTCTGGTAAAATGTTCAAATAGGCCATTGGACATATGCCTGAGCTGAGAACCTTCCTACCCATCGATTCAGGTAGGGTGTTTATTGCACAGTTACATCGGCATCTTGACTCTAATTAGCTCTTCCTGGCAACTAACGCCCCCACCACACCTATATGTAATATTTGAGGAAATCTGTTTTAATGAACCTGAAGGAGTGTACGCACTTAAGTCTCTCGATTCTCGCTTGTACCCAGAATTGAACTTTATTTGTCTTGTAGGCGTCACTGGACTCAAACCTCCTTCCCACATCTGTTTGTCAACTCTTGTGCTTCTATGCTAATTCATTGCCATTCACAGATCTTAACTGCATCCAGTCTCAGCTATAATCACCCAGTACTTGTGCATCTTGACTCTAAATGGCCCTTCCTGACAACCACCCTCACCCACCCCCTATAAGTAATGGTTGAGAAGGTTCTGCTCCACTGTATCTGAGGAAGTGTGCCTTGCACACAGAAGCTTAAAACCTTGTTGGTCTTAAAGGTGCCCCTGGATTCAAACTTTGTTCTTCTTACCCATACTTTGCCTGCACTTGGGAGGGGGTATAGCTTAGTAGCAGAACCTGTGCTTGGCATGCAAATATCCCCCCACAAACCCCCCCCACAAAATAGATCCAATCCAGTCAAAAGGGTTACAGTTAGCAAAGCAAGGAAAGATCCCCCAGATTGGAGTCTTGAAGAGCTGCTGTCAATCAGAATAGATGACAGCGCTTAGATGGACCAAGAGCCTGACTCTGTATAAGCCGAACAGGTTTATATAGTCTGTGCTTGCATAGTTGGCCTGGGGAGGAACATAGCTCAACTAGAACAGCATACTGACTTTGCATGCAGAAGGTCCCAGGTTCAATCCCCGGTATCTCCAGTAATGCCCCCTCTAAGCCAGGGATGTCAAACATACAGCCCAGGGGCCACATCAGGCCCCCGGAGGGCTTCTATCAGGCACGCAGTGGAACCGGCTGTCTTCTGCTGCTTCTTCCAGTTCTGCTGCCACCGCGTCATCATAGGTTTGCAGCTTACAGATACACACCTGAACAGCACACTCAAGATTGCAACAGCACAGGCATTTTGATGCAATAATTCAGGTGTCAGTTATCAGAGGTGTCAGTTATCAGACACTGTTAAATAAACAAAACATTGCAAGAGTGCTAATGTTTTAAGCATGTTTTTATTTTGAGTAAAAAAAACCTTTGTGTTTGTGTCCTTTTCAAAGTTTATATCTCTGCTACATGTCATTACATTTTATGACACACATGGCCCGGCCCAACAAGGTCTCATTTATATCAGATCTGGCCCTCATAACAAATGAGTTCGACACCCTTGTTCTAAGCTGTTGAGTCTTGTGATCAAAAATTCTACTTTGTGAGCTACCGGCATGAAAGTTGTAAGCAAGTGATTTGGCTACTGCATAAATTAGTTTGCTTGGAGTCCATGCTTCCTGAGCTAAGACAAAAATGTGTGAGCTGGAGGCTAAAAAACTGTGAGCTAGCTCACACTAATTCAGCGTAGAGGGAACACTGATCTCCAGAGAAAATATCTCAGTGACCCGGTGGCGGAAGAGACTCTTCTCTGCTGGAACCCTTCAGCTCTGAGTTAAGAGACTCTTCCACAATATCCCTGGTCCTGCCCATAAATGCAAGTCGTATAGGGACTGGATACTGTCCAGCACCTAGCACTCAGTCACGTCCAAAAGAGATGGAGTAAGGTCTTCCCGCTCCCCCACCCTTACGAGGCATACTGTTCCCTTGGTGTTTTTTTCCCTCGGTTCAAGGATAAACACATTCTGCCTCTTCTATATATACCCAAGGCAGTTAATGACGAGATAAACAGAAGCCAAACACGTTAGGATGCCCTTCGATAATCAATGAACGGCTCAATTAGCATCCAAAGAAGCCCCCGAGGCAACTCTCTTTGATAAAACCCATAAGAATCAACATGAATCACAAACACCTTCCTCGCAAGTCGGGTTGCCAACCAACCAAAAAAGAGAAAGGCCTAGCTGGATTTGGAAGACTGTCAAATTCGGTGTGCGTGCAAAAGCCAGAACATGCGGCAGGTTATGAGCACTTGGGGAAAGGAAAACTCAGCAGGGTATCGCTCCCTTTCTCTCAGTGGTTGAAGGATGCAGCCGTACGCCTACAGTCCCAACTGACCAGGGACTGTCCCTATTTTCCTATTCCCCTCCTTCCTAAACCCTCCTCATTTTGGCCTTTCCCAGACTGCCTTGTCCAAATGTTGTTAATGTAAATTGCTCAGGTTCTCTGCATACAGAATTCAGCTTCCTCCCCGGGGGTCTTTAAAAGTTAAATTTCAGAGCAGGGGGATGGATGCGTCTCCTCTCCATGTCGATCTGTGCGCATGAGCACTCGGGCACCA